TAGAAAAATTGAAAGGGCGCGAGAACTATGACGCTTGGAAATTCGCAGTACAGGCCTACCTTTTGGACCAAGAACTTTGGGACTGCGTTTCAGGTGACTGTAAGTCTGATCCTTGCAGAAAAGACGTCAAAGCAAGAGCGAAAATTATTCTTCTGGTTGATCAAGTAAACTACGTTCATTTACAATCAACAAAGACAGCCAAAGAAGCATGGGACACTTTGGAATCCGCTTTCCAGGATTCAGGACTCATTAGAAGGGTTGGTTTATTGAGAGCTCTAATTATGACTAGGCTCGAAAACTGTGACTCAGTTGAGGATTTCGTGAATAGGATTATCACGACCGCCTATAAACTTACAAACATTGGTTTGAAAGTTTCTGACGAGTGGGTTGGCACTATTTTATTAGCCGGTCTTCCCGATAATTTCCAGCCTATGATCATGGCGATAGAGTCCTCCGGTATTGAAATTACCGCCGATGCGATAAAAACTAAACTGCTTCAAGACGTTTCAACAACTAAACGAGAAAATGGTCAGAAAGTAGAGGCGATGTATGGTTTTCAACATCGGAAATATTCTACTTCGAAACCCAGTTCCGCTCAAAGCAATTTGAGAAACCAGTTCAAAAAGAATAGTTCCGATTCTGACAAAAACGGTACCAGTTCCAGATCAAAAGGGCCTCGCTGTTACGAATGTAACAAATACGGACATTTTGCAAAAAACTGCTCCAACCGAAGTGAAAAGAAACATTTCTCCGGGAATGCCACCACCAGTGATAACAAGGAACAAGGCATGTTTACCGCTCTTTCCACTCAAATTTCTGTGGGTACATCAGATTGGTTTTTCGACTCGGGTTGTTCCGCGCATATGACAAAGAACAAAAACATTTTTGTAAATGAAACTACCCCGTCAAAAATGAATGTAAGCACCGCGAACAGTGAGAATATCATGCAAACAAGCAGTATTGGTGATATAAAGTTACCTGTCACAGTGAATGGCAATACTTCAGATGTAACTGTTCGAAATGTTTATTATGTACCTGATTTACGAGTGAATCTTCTCTCAGTCAGTCAAATTGTGGATAGAGGGAATACAGTTGTCTTCGATTCTGATGGTGCACGAGTTTATGATACAAATGATAGCATACTGGCAACTGCAACATTAGAAAATAATTTGTTCAAGTTGGACCTTGCTTCCCAATCAGTTCAATTGGCTCATTCAGATTTTTCTGAAGAAGAACTTTTGTGGCACAGGCGCATGGCGCATGTCAATTCATCCAATTTGATGAAGTTGAAAAATGGATTAGTTCACGGAATTCATTTTTCTGGTAAAATTCCGAAAGAATTTATTTGTGAAGTTTGTGCTGTCAGTAAAAGTCATCGTTTGTCATTCCCAATGAGTGAAACTAGATCAACTGGACTCTTAGAGCTAGTACATTCAGATTTAGTTGGGCCACTAGATAAATCACTAGCGGGGTCCCAGTATATGCTCACCTTCTTAGATGACTACAGCCACATGTCATTTTGTTATTTTGTGGTAAAAAAGAGCCACGTTTTTGACACATTTGTCAATTTCAAGAAGTTTGTAGAAAATCAAACAAGTCTGAAGATAAAAATACTCAGGACAGATAATGGAGGTGAATTTTGTTCTAATCAAATGAAAGATTTTCTTCGTACTGAAGGTATCCAACATCAGACCTCCGTTCCTCATACGCCTGAACAAAATGGAAAAGCGGAGCGTTTAAACCGCACGATTGTAGAAAAGGTCAGATGTTTGCTTGCTGATTCGGGACTTCCTCAGAAATTTTGGGCAGAAGCGGCAAACACTGCATGCTATCTTCTCAACAGATCTCCTACGAGATGCACAGAAGTCACTCCACTGGAAATTTGGACAGGAAGAAAACCGACCGTGAAGCACATTCGTACGTTTGGTTGTAAAGTATATGCTCATATTCCAGCTGCCAACCGAAAGAAGTTGGACGCGAAATCTCGTCCTAGCATATTTATTGGCTACAGTGCTAACTGTAAAGCGTACAGACTTTATGATCCAAAGAAATCGGAAGTATTTGTGTCTCGTGATGTCATTTTTTCAGAACACGAGAAAGGATCACAGCTTTTGGAAAAATCAGAAAGAGATTTTGCCAACTATCCTTTGGTCTCTGATGACATACACGATCAAATCGGAGACTATCAAGAAGCTGATCGTATTCTAGCAGTTCCAGATAGCGCCACTGGTGCATCAGGTGGAGACAATGAACCTGGTGATTTTCCAGCTGGAACAGGCGATGGACCCGGCAATTACGACAGTTCAGCATATGATTTTCTCGACCAAGATGAATCAAATGATTTTCAAGTGGAGGATGAGAATGACGATCCGACATATCATGCTGATTTACATCAGCAACGAAATGATCCAGCCGATCAACAACGGAGAGGAGAACGTGTTAGACGACCACCTGTCAAATTCGAGGATCATGTTTCTTATGCAATGAGCTTAAGTGAACCCGATGATCCAACGACCATTGAAGAAATCGAATATCGTCCTGACCGTGATCTTTGGAAGCATGCTATGGACCTTGAGTACAAATCGCAGCTAGAAAACGGAACATGGGAGCTCATGGATCTACCACCAGGAAAGGTACCACTCAATAACAAATGGGTCTTCAGGACAAAACGAGATGTCACTGGTAAAATAGTGAAGCATAAAGCCCGGCTCGTTGTCAAAGGCTGTGCCCAACGCAAGGGTGTAGATTTTGAGGAAACCTTTTCTCCGGTAGTGAGGTACAGCTCGATCCGGTATCTTTTGGCTATGGCAGCTAAACGAGATATGGACGTTGATCAGATGGACGCAGTTTCAGCTTTCCTCCAAGGAGATCTCACTGAAGAGATTTATATGCGTCAGCCTGAAGGCTATCAATATTCAAACCAAGTCTGTCATCTAAAGAAGAGTTTATATGGACTCAAACAAGCGAGTAGAGTATGGAATATTAAATTAGATGGATGTCTGAAAAGTATCGGTATGAGTCAATCAAAATTTGATCCCTGTGTTTATTTCAAGTCCAATCAGAAAATGTTGTTGATAATAGCAGTCTGGGTTGATGACTTGCTAATATTTTCTGACGATCCGAAACTGAAACACGAAATCAAAACTCAACTGATGAAACATTTCAAGATGACTGACATTGGTGAAGCCAAGTTTGTGCTTGGATTCCGAATATCAAGAGACAGGAAGAGAAAGAAGTTATGGATTGATCAGAAAGCGTATATTGATAACGTTTTAATTCGATTCCATATGGAAAATTCTAACCCTGCCTCAACTCCCCTTGATCCAAATGTGAAGCTTTCTAAAGACCAGCAGCCGTCCTCTACAAATGATGAAGAGAAAATGGAAAATATCCCTTATCAAGAGGCAGTAGGCAGTCTGTTGTTTGCATCACAGGTGTCCAGACCGGACATAGCATTCGCTGTCAGCTTCGTTAGTCGATTCAATAATAACCCAGGAGCTGCACATTGGTCTGCAGTGAAGCGCATCCTCCGATACCTGAAAGGTACAGTGGACTGGAAGCTGGAGTACGATGGAAACAAATCGTGTGAGATCACTGGGTATTGTGACTCTGATTTCGCAAGTGACATTGATGAGCGAAAATCTGTCACCGGATATGTGTTCCTGATGTGCAACGCATCAGTATCTTGGGGAACGAAGAAGCAACCGACAACAGCGTTATCCACCACTGAGGCGGAATATATGGCGTTGTCCGCTGCTACCCAGGAGGCTCTCTGGCTGAAGGGTTTGTCAGAGGAGATAGTTCCCTGCTCTGAGCAAGAGAAGACTCCAGTCAAAATATTCGTGGACAACCAGGGCGCGCTCAATCTCGCTCAAAATGGTTCCTACCAATCGAGAACTAAACACATCGATGTGCGCCATCACTTTGTACGTCAGAAGATAGCTGAGAAGCTTATCAAACCATCATACATATCAACAAACGACATGGTAGCTGACTCACTTACGAAGCCGTTGACTCCTGTTAAATTCCTGAGGTGTATTCAGTTACAGGGAATAACCAAATAGGAGGGGTTGTTGGACTATTTATTATATTTGGTTATATTAGCTTAATAATCTAGATATGAACGCCATGTAGATATGTGTCATAAGAAAAATAAATAGATTGTCAAGTACATGTCAGTAAACAGTCATTCTAATTTCATCTCCACTATAATATAGAAAAACTATAGAATAACAACAGTGATATCAACATGGACGCGAATGACATGTTCTTGTTATTGAAGATACAAACGTGACAAAGAAATGAACAATCGAATGAAATCTGCTGTGATCAACTAAGATGGTGACAAATTCAGTACCTAGCTAGTTATTTCAACTTTTGTAGCACGCCTGAAGCAAAGGTGTGAATTCAATTAATCGTCATATATTCAAGTAATGGCTGTATGCTATTCTTGTATACTCATTGCAGATCCCCTTGAATTTATCATCACCGCTATCGATCAAGAGAAGAACAAAATCATATTATATACATTCAAAGTGCAAGCTTCAAGTTTTTTACATACATATCCTGTATGTTGATTTTTATCCTTTACATAATATATCACATTTCATATATGGATATATATCATCCTACTTATGATTGGAAAGCATACCTATTCCATGTATAGGTACAGAACAGATTCCTTGCATATGCAAACAATATCTTTTGGAAGATACACAGATATTCCTGATCTGGTTCCATGGTTACTTTGGGATTCCTGGAATATGCATATCACATGCTTTGGAGGACATCCCAATGGAATATGCACAGAATATTTATGGAACCTGATTGTGCCATCTGGGTAGCGGTCTGGTTCGTAATGCATGTCGGTGTATTGAATGCTTATGCGTTCTAGTCATAAGATTGTAAATTTTGTGTTGTCTCCTCCATCAAACATATTGACCCGCCTCGAAAAGTCGAACGTTCCTTCCATATGAAAAAATAAATATTGTCCGTTTCAGATTGAACATCGGATCCAGCCACCTGCCGAGTTTTAAAACGGCCTACTTTACCAGGCACAGTAGTGTCGCTGAAGACGCAGGACTTATTTTCGAAGGGCAATCCATGGCGAGTTCTCTTTTGAGTCTGGACAAGTCTTTCGATAATCCTATGTTTGGAAAAGATGAGAAATCGACACCATCAACATCTAGTCCGCGCTATGACATGGTAAAGCTCATATTTCTGTATTTTTATCTACTGACGCGTTCACGTGACAACATTCGCCTCTACCACGGAAAGCTTGGATAATTAGAGCTATCTGTTCAGGGTTATATTATTATCTATACTTACAGGGCCTAAGAGTCTCACGACCGATTTCCATGACGTTGTATGTTGGGGGTCACTGACCATTAAACAACAAATGGAAGGCCAATGCCATTTCTAAGTTTCACCGTTTAGTTTCGAATTGAACTCGCGTAGGTATACCACGTCGTGATTGGCTCGGAAAAGTTTATTGACAGCTGGCGCAGTGCGTATTGAATTCCCATTGAATAATTTCAAACATACATCATATATTATTGTTGTTACTGCAATATTGCGTATGATGAAAACAAAAACAGCGGACATACAAACTCCTCAAGGTCAAGTTCCTGAAGATTACTTTCCGATCCCTGTTCTCGTCTCCGAAGAAGGCCAAAAGTTTTTCTTCTCCTACGAGTGACGGGGACCGTGGGCCCACCATGTGCTGAAGGCTTCGGGGTGGGGGTAGCCTCAGGTGATTCCAGACACCACTGGTTAAAATCTTGAGGTCCCCACTCTTGTCATGGTAGCGGTACGTGACGGAGGATTTCGGTCGACATGGGTAGCTGGGCTTGCTCAGCGAAAACTGGAACTCTGGTGTACCTTGTTCCTTAGTTCGTCAGGAAGGGGGCAGCCCCAAGCGATCCTCCCGCCAGTCATCGTAGGCAAAGCCGGGTAGAGGTAGAGGTACGTGTGAAAGTCCTCGAACGATCATTCATTCAACGGGACGAGAGGATTCTTGTCAACATGAGTAGCAATCAGGCCAAAGCCCATGTCAACAAGAGGAATCTTGTTGACATGGGTACCTGAGGTGATGAGGATAGCACCATCAGGCCGTACATACGGCCAGGTACCTCACCAATTGGGTTGGACTCCAGGGGTCAGCGGTTTCCAAGAAACACCACCGGACTACGGTAGAGGAGGTGAAGAAGAATCTCACTATGGGTCAAGTGGGAGGATATCTTGCCTGTCTCGGCGGGTGAGCAGCGTTTTCTGCTCGAGCACTGAAACTGCAGAGCCAGTAGTCTGTCTTATCAGACGGCCTCACCATTGGTATAATGAAATTGTAGCAGGTGAACATGCCGTTACATAACGGAGATGGCTCTAGCGCGCTGATTTGGCTTATCCAAATCCTCCATTTCTCCCTGGGGTGCTGTCGGTATGAGTCGAGAGACAGGTGGCCGGCAGTCATCGGAGTCTTGTGAGAGGGGGGTGAGACTTGGTCTCACCTGGTGCTACCCCGCCAACATTACTATGATAATAATAATAATAATAATAATAAACGTCTTTATTGCTTCCATATGTGAATACAAAAAAAATACATATAATATGAGGTTGACATGAAAGCAAAAGGCGAAGTTCAGCTTGTAAAATGATTTAAAATCAGCTTACAAACTGTTCTGATGATATCCTATCCTACGAAGATTTGAAGAAAGAAGATAATCTGCACCACATATCCCTAGAGCATAATTCTTCGAATTCTTCATCTCAAACTATAACTGAGACTAGTGAATCAGATAAAAAAAGGAAATTTGGGTTTTCCCCCACGAATGAAGAAACTAATGTTAAATCTAGGCTAAGATCATTCTATATCAACAAATAAGTCATCAATAAGTATCCTGCACGTTATTGTTTTTTTTCCTACTATATACTGTTCTGTTATATACTGTATCTCTATTATATTATACTTAACTCTGTGTCCATCTCAGGATGAAGCATCATTTTAACTTGGCCCATTTCAATATCAGGTCATTGGCTCCTCATTTTCAGGAATTTAAAGATTTAGTTGTTTCCAAATACGAAATAATAGCACTATCTGAAACTTGGCTATCGTCCAATATACCTGACCACCATGTTTCCATTGAAAGCTATACTTTATTTAGAAAAGACAGGCCGGTGGGCAGAGGTGGCGGGGTTGCTCTGTACATGAAATCTGGATATAAAGCTCATTTGCTGAACTCTATCCCTCAGAATGAAACTGAACAACTCTGGGTATCATTCGAATGTTGCAACAAAAAATATGCTGTGGGTGTTTTATACAGCCCCCCTTCATCTTCCGTTGAACATTTTCTAAACGACGTGGAATTTTCTATCAGCATTGTCGCGCCTAATTTTGACGAACTCATCCTCACAGGCGACTTCAATATTGACATGTTAGCTTCCGATAATTGCTCTACGAAACGATTGAAGAATATCTTGAATTCATACGCTTTAGATCAAGTGATTAAGGAACCTACTCGCATAAGTTCAACAAGCGCAAAAATACTCGACTTGATTATTTCATCTGAGAAAATCCCTCCCAATAATACACTTGTTATAGATACGGGTTTATCTGACCATTGCATGGTATCCTGCCGAATAGGACCCACGTATGTACCGACCAAGCCCTTCTTATATACATTTCGTGATTTCAAGGCATTCACTCTGAACAATTTCTCAGCAGATCTGGAACTCACCAACTTCTCACCTATTCTCTTGTCAAACAATATCGATGACAAAGTCAGTCTATTCAACGAGATCATAACAGCGTTGTTCGATTTCCATGCCCCTGTAAGAACAATCAGGATAAGTCGACCTAAAGCCCCCTGGATTACTTATGTTATAAAGAAAATGATGTCTCTCAGAGATAAAGCCCTCGTAAAATTCAAACATACTAAAGAAGTGAGACACTGGACCTACTACAAAGATCTGAGGAACGAAACCAAATACGCCATCGCTAGAGAAAAGAAGGCATATTTCCAATTCAAAATTAAAAGCAGTGGAAATAATAAAAACTTTTGGAAGGAGCTGAAGAATTTAAATATCCACTCTAAAAATACAGGCAGTGTAATTCCAGATCATTTGAAAAACCACCAAGCCATCAATGACTATTTCGTTAACTCCTCTGTAAGTGATCACTCCCCAGATGCGGCTACTTTGAATTTTTACTTAGAAAATACACGACCCGGCGTCACCAACTTCGATTTTTCTCCAACTACTGAGACAGAAATATACAAAGTCCTTCTATCTATCAAATCCAAGGCATATGGGGTTGACAAAATCAATATTGATATGTTATTGTACTGCTGCCCTTTAATTCTTCCCATCGTATGTCACATCTTCAATTTCTGTATCGCGAACAATGTCTTTCCTTGCATCTGGAAAAAATCTTTCATTATTCCTCTACCCAAAATTCCCAATCCAGTGGAGTTCAAATCACTTCGTCCCATCAGCATTCTATGTACCTTATCAAAAGCTTTCGAAAAAATAATTCTCTCTCAAATTCAGGATCACCTACAATCCAACAGCATCATTCCCTCCCATCAGTCTGGATTCCGACCTCAACACAGCTGTGTAACTGCATTAATCAAGGTCACAGATGACATTTTCACCGCGACGGATCAACAACAGCAGCTCACTGCTCTGGTTATGCTCGACTACAGCAAGGCTTTCGATAGGATCAAGCACCAGTTGTTGTTGGCTATACTTCATTATATTGGTTTTTCTGCATCCGCTACTTGCTTGCTAGGAGCTTACTTGAACAATCGCTTGCAAGCTGTTTTATTAGAACGAGACTGTTCTGACTTTCTGGTAGTGGAAAACGGAGTTCCTCAAGGATCGATATTGGGTCCGGTGTTATTCATACTCTATACCCATGAATTTCATAGTCACATAAAATTCTGTAATAGTCACTTTTATGCAGATGACACACAGTTATACATATCATTTTCTGAAAAAAATCTTCCCCTGGCTAATTTCCAACTGAACTCTGATTTGGATGCTATCATCTCGATATCTGAAAAATTCTGTCTTTCATTGAACCCCTCAAAATCCTCTGCGATTCTTTTTGGCAGAAAGGTCGCTCGCAGTCGTTGCAAGAACTTAATGACGATTAAAATCGGGGAAGTAAATATTCCTTTCTCTGATAGCTCGAAAAATCTGGGAGTTATTCTTGATTCCTCGCTCAATTTCAGTGGCCATGTCAATCTACTCGTTCGGAGAGCCTTCTGTAACCTCAAATTGATATATTCCAACAGAAAAATGTTAGATAAAAACGGGAAGAAAACTCTCTGTGAGTCACTAGTTCTCTCACACTTGAATTACGCTGACACTATTTACGGACCCGCCATCACCAAAAGAGACGCCCAGCGAATACAATTGATTCAGAACTCTTGTGTACGTTTAATTTGCGGACTAAGTAGACGAAATCACATCTCCTCCCCTCTCCAAGAACTCGGATGGCTCAATACCGAAAAAAGAAGAATACTTCACCTTTGCACTTTATTCCATAGTATTATAAATTCGCAAAAACCACCCTATTTATACGACAAGATCACATTTCGTACGGACGTGCACAATATCAATATTCGGCACAAATCACGACTTACGCCACCTCAGCACTCCACAGCCCAGTTTCAATCGTCATTCTCCTTCACTATTACCAGGCTTTACAATAGGATTCCGGAACGGTTCAAAACTTTATCCACTGCATGTTTCAAAAGTAGTCTCAAAAAGAGCCTACTGTCAGGAGAAATATCTCTATGATGCCTCTTATTTCCTGGTTAATTTTTTTATTTTTTTTATTTCTTTACTTTAACATGCCTTATTGAATTTGTATTCATCATTCTGAGTAGTTTTATTAATAGTTAATGTATTGTATCAATTTATATTCAGTTGTTAACATAGTTTTAGATTATTCAGCGTAGTTTAATACTAACTCCATAGGTTGAGTGGAAGAAAGCACTTGTTCGACTCAACACCGAGTCCGAACCAGAGCTAACTCTGCCTTTTGATAGATGATGTTATATGTTACCTTTTTTTGTTAACCATTATCTGTCAATAAAAGCGATTATTATTATTATTATTATTATATAGGTTGGACCTGTTGGACCATTGCTTCCTAGAAAAAAAGCTGTAGAGGTGTGAAGCAGTTTGTCACACAGTTTATCTTCAGTATCTACTACCACAGTTCTATAAAAAGATCACACTTTTCAAATGATTTTTCCACCATGCATTATATAGGTATCTATTATTTTACGCACAACTTTTTTTCGCTGAGTCTGTGAAGTCTGAAGATGAACTAATCGAGTTCGAATCATATGTCCATGATGGTTTCTCTTAAAGACTGAAAATTGTGGAGATGACTTCGAGTTTTTTTCATTGTTACAGCCATTTTTTCATTGTTAAAAACAGCCATTTTTCAATGGTTTACCTATTTTGTAGGGCAATAGAGATGCTGTCAATACTGGTGATGCAGAGGAATCCAATCACTTAGAGTCAGGAGCTGAAATGGAAGAATCCATGCCTGACATAAAACAGAAAGATTTTGACAATATTTCGGAAGGTGAATTGGTTGATTTGTCCGACATGTGAATATTTTTGTAAAACTATGCGCAGCAACAATATATATGAATATAATTGTCAGTTTGAGATACATTCATGTAACCCCTAATGAAATCACCCCTGTTCCCTTGTATCTTCCCTGATTATAGAAATTAGATTCTGAAATGTGCAGGAACGATGTGACTCGATAAGGTGGAAAAAATCAACAGAACGAAACTTCCCAACTAACAATGCATTTTTTATGTAGATTGTTAGATTTGCTATGTCTATAGCAAATCTTACGGAATCCAAACATAAAAATTGATAAATCCTATCGTGTTTATCTGGGCCGGGATTGGCGCAGTGAAAGAGCGCCGCGAGGTCGTGGGTTCGATTCCCAGCCAGAGCAACAAGGAACTTTTTTCAATATTTTATTCACGAATTAAATATTGTAAAGTTTCGGAGCATTGACTGGGAATAGTCCTGCACGATTCGCTGTTGCGTTTCAATTAACAGTTCTGCTCCTAAAGTGGTGCATGTACTTTGTAATAGAGCCTACACAGAATACGCAGAAAGATATGATGACGTGGCTGTGAGCATCAGAGAAAAATTAGGAAGGTGTATGTAGGTGAGTGTGGAAAACTACCAGCTGAGCGTGAGAGCGGACCAATATGCAGCTTAGTGGACCTCCTCTAAAGGGGGTTAACGAGGTAGCTAGCAGGCCTGCCACTGCAGCTTATGGTAGTGAGTACATTACTAGCCTACAAAACCCTGCCGAAAAACTCTGAAAGAGAGCTGATGGTCGGTACCTGAAGAGGGTGTTAGTCAGCTCTGTTGAGCGAACCGCACGTCACTCATTGGTGTAGCACCAAACTTGTTGGTGCCACCTCCCCAGATAACACAATGTCATTCATAGAACGTCTATAGGATATTCTTCGAGAATATTTAAATATTCTCAGAATATTCTCACAATATGATACAAATATTCAAGGGAGTTTCTATGAATAAGTCTAATTGAATGTTCATAGAATATTCTTTGTAGAATGAGAATATTCTATGCATTCTGAGAACATGCTATAAGAATTTTCTAAAATAAGTATATTTGAACGTTGTCAGAATATTCATAGAATGTTGAGTTGTTAATTATTCAGACCTGAAATGCACGTCTTATTCAAGACATCTGGTGCTGACTGAGCAATAAGCGCGGAAATATAAAGACACTCACAATAGTACCTACGGTATATGAAATATTAATGTATGCTGTAATGATTGCCGATAAGACAGGGTGTGAATCCTCAGGTTAGGTTTTTAGGGAAAAAAGTTTTTATCAACATATGTCCGAAACCTATTTGTTTTTGAGCTACAGGGTGTTAAAATTAGAGGCGTACAGTTTTTTTTTAATCAAAACATTCAATATCATTCCTACTCGAACATCATTGGTAGAGAAGTGAAAAAAATATACTTGTGACAAAACAAAATTTCAAAAACAATATCTCAATGAACTGACAAAAACTTTTTGTTTTGTTTTTATTTCTTTCCGCGAAAATGGTACTTGGTATGAAAGTAAGCCTCGGTATCAAAGTTGTTCCACAATGAATGGGAATTTCAAGAATAAATTTGATTTTTAGAAATATCAGTGGCGTACCATTTTTTTCTTCAAAAATTGTCAGTTCAAATCCCGTACGGACGTCACTAGTGAGTATTTCAAAGAATCTTTGGCCCCAGAAAATGACCCCTATTGATAAAAAGGTGTGTACGAAATTTCATAAATATATCTAAGAGTGATGAGGAGGTATGATAAAAAACCTCACTTTTTTCTTACAATTTCAACACCCTGTAGCTCAAAAACTAAGGGGTTTAGGGCATATTTTGATATGAACTTCTCTCCTCAAAATCACCCGAGGACTCACACCTTGTATTATCGGCACTCAATTAATCAACACCCTGTATAGTCGATATTGATGGTTGAACACGAGCAAAACCATAATCCATATATATTATAGGTATAGTACCATTGGTTGTCATCTCTAACTAATACCATCCAGTGACCCCCTAGATATGTGAGTAGCCAACCAATCTTATTTTAGCCACCAAAAAAGCTAGAATTGTTTTGTAGTAGTGTTTGAATTTATTGTTTTATCAAATTGTTTTATGTTTAATTGTTTTATTGTTTTATCAAATTGTTTTATGTTTTATCAAATTGTTTTTATCAAATTGTTGATTGAATAATCATTTTAAATGGATACTTCTCATTCTACCCTATATAAATGAGTGGTATTTAATTATTGCGCCAGAATATCTATTCTAAAAGTAGAAGTTATTTGTCTTGACTTGCCATAAAAAACTGAAAATTACCCAAATACAGGACTAATACTCAAAATATCATATAAGTGTTATATATTTTTGAAAAGCGCAAAGCTTTCTTGTTTCAAATATTGAAAAATATACAGGGCGGTGTTCTATTTAAAAAAACATAACTTTGGGTCTAAATAACGACAGCTCATTTAAAAAATCTGACTACGCCACTAGATTCTACATGAAAAATTGTGAAAGAAACAGTTCTCACTTTTCCTCTAAGTTGAAAGATAGCTGAGATACAGGGGGGGTACCAAAATGAAATATTTTCAATTCCGCCCTGTATCTCAGGAACGATCCGAAGCGGGCTATGGAAATTTTGTTCACGGTTTCGTGAGTTTCACAAAAAAGTAGCCAACGTTCACGATGACCGCAAATCTTTATCTTCAAAATTAAGCGAGATATCCCGTAAGGACTTCGAAAATGAGACAGCATGTACAAATCCTTCACTGGATGTGAGTTGAATACTTCTGGTTCGCCAACTGGTTGCCCAAAGATCTTCTGTCTTCTGCGGTCCAATGCCTCACATCGGTACAGTATATGTGCATAACTGTTTCTGGTTCCTTGCCACATAGTCTGCAGCTTGGGTCGGCATTGTACAGTCCCATTCTGGCGAGATGCTCCTTTATTACTGGCGCATGGCCAGTCATGAGTCCCGTAACAGTTTTTTATCTGTACTCTGTTCAAGTTGAGCAGGTCTACAGTTCGTTTATGACTTGGTTCCTTGATGTATTGTTTCCCATGTCTGTTTCTTGGGATATTTTCCCAGTAGCTCTTATGTTTTGCCTGAATCCAGTCTTTAACTGACACTCGTGCTGTACGTTTTGGTACTCCAAGAGTCTGTCCTGGATATGGCTCGTTGTCCGACCCTCTTCTTGCAAGTTCGTCAGCCTTCTCATTGCCAGCGATCCCCTGATGACCTGGCACCCAGATTAGCTTGACGCAGTTCCGGTCTGCCAGAGTGCTCAGTTCCCTATTGCAATCCCATATCAGTCGAGATGTCACTTCCTGGCTTTCTATTGCCTTAAGTGCCGCTTGACTGTCTGACATAATACGGATCTGCTCGTTTTCCACAGCTCTCCCGTTATTTTCTTCCGCACATTGGAGAATTGCGTACACCTCTGCTTGGAAAACATCCCAGCGAGCACAAAAACATCTCAGAGATGTTAAAAGTACGAGATTTCGAGACATTGAACCTCCACTGCGATGTTCTGTTCACACATGAATAGAACTATTAAAGAACAGCCAATGTCCGCAGCAGGCGGAGATTATCGAGATGTCCTTGATATGTCACAAAACTACCTTCTCCCTAGTTCTTTTTAAAGCCTTTTCATGGACACAACAAAACATTTTCAACGCGTCTTGCGCACATTAAATCGCTGTAAAAAAACATTTTCGAGGTACTTTTCTGAAGCCTTTTGTCAAAATGAACTTTTGCATTAGGATCCCATTTCCCTTCAATGAAAAAATGCATTAAAAATAGATTGAACATAAAAATATTTTCTTGATATGAAATTACCTTCTTAATCGGTTTTTGAGTAGTGCTTACCACACACAGACATATAATTGGAAATAGGTTTCCCAATTTTTGAAATGTTCTCCACAATGCATTATTTTGCAACTGCGGAGAAGCTGTGTATTGATAAATTCGTACTTTTATATATTGATTACACTGAGGCACCGAACAACATTTCTTGCATCTGATGGTCATTATTACAAACTAAATAAGTCTTCTAACACAACCCAGATAGCACAAATTCCTTTTGAGGCCCTTCTGAGGCGTTCACAATCATGTCCTCAGGACGTCGAGAGCGAGCCTGAGGACATTCTCAAGACGTCCTCCTGTTACCATTCTCTACATACTAATAACGTCTCAGAACATCCCTATAAAATCTTTTGAGACAACCTCAGGACATCATGGTAACAACTTGAGGCGGTTTTTGATGATGTTTCAAGGAGGTTCAAGATTTATGGAAGAATATTATTAGTATACAGAATGAGTCACTATAGTGTGTTCTCCTCCGATATTAGCCAAACCATCAGATATATAAAATGAAAATTCAAGTACAACAGTAATAGGGTTTCATAAGAACAATCACCTAAAGTTGTTTTCATATCTATAGGGTGTTCGAATTCCAAGATATCGGTTGATGATTGGTTTTTTTCAATGGAACACCTTGTATATATATTATTGCATTTTTGAGTTTTCCCTGTAGAGTTGATTCCATCAATGCATCACACTTGGTGTCTAGTGGGAATTATTACAGAGATATAGGGTGTTGACAATTGAGATTCTTCAAATGTAGGATTTTTTGTGTCGAAACTATTCATTAATGGTCAAAACGGCTCACATGTTCCTGTCATAACTTTTGATTAGCTATCTACTGATATTTATTTGGAACAGATACAAAAAGCTGATCAGTATTCTGAATGTTAACCCACCCTCTATTTGTTCCGATTGAATGTCAGTAGATAGTAAATCGAAAGTTTATAAGGATATGTGAGCCGTTTTGACCAATATTGAATAGTTTCCACAAAAAAAATCCTAAAATTGAAAAATCTTGTTTTTGAACACCCTATATCTCTGTAATCATTCCCGCTAGACCCCAAGTGTGATACATTGATGGAATCAGCTCTTCAGGGAGAACCTAAAAATGCAATAGTATACAGGGTGTCCCATTTGGAAAAAAACAATC